ATTTATTTATTTATTTTATTTTTTGTGTGTGTGAGGAAGATCAATCCTGAGCTAACATCCATGCTAATCCTCCTCTTTTTGCTGAGGAAGACCGGCTCTGAGCTAACATCTATTGCCAATCCTCCTCCTTTTTTTTTTTTCTCCCCAATGCCCCAGTAGATAGTCGTATGTCATAGTTGCACATCCTTCTAGTTGCTGTATGTGGGACGCGGCCTCAGCATGGCCGGAGAAGCAGTGCGTCGGTGCGCGCCCGGGATCCGAACCCGGGCCGCAAGTAGCAGAGCGCGCGCGCTTAACCGCTAAGCCACAGGGCCGGCCCATCACCACAATTTTAGAACACCAGTCAATTTTAGAACATTTTCATCACCTTAGAAAGAAATCCTATTACCCTCTAGCTATCATTTCCCTATCCATCTGCCGCCCCTTCCCTAGCCCTAAGCAACCACTAATCTAATTTCTGTCTATAGATTTCCCTGTTGTGGACATTTCATATGAATGGAATCAGATCATACGTGTCTTTTATGACTGGCTTCTTTCAGTTAGCATCATATTTTCAAGATTCATCCATGATGTAGCATCTATCAGTACTTTATTCTTTTTTGGCTGAATAATATTGTTGTGTGACTATATGACATTTTGTTTCTCTATTTGTCAGTCGATGGACATTTGGGTTATTTCTACCTTTTGGCAATTATGAATTATGCTGCTATAAACATTTGCTTGCAAGTTGTTGTGTGGTTATATGTTTTCATTTCTCTTGGGTATATATCTAGGAGTGGAATTGCTGGGTCTTATGGTAACTCTATGTTTAATTGTTTGAGGAACTGCCAGATTGAGATTGTTCTTGCTCTTCTACTTAATCTAATAATTATATCTGTTCTTTGGAAAATATTTTAAAACAGAAAATTTTGAGGATAAAAACATTTAATCACCTTTAATTCTACCACTCAGAGAATATCCTTTTAGGATACTTTTCTGTGCATATTGTTTTTAATGAGACCACACTTGGCATAATATTTTGTAGCCCATATTGTGAACATCTTTTCATGTCAATAAATATCTACATCAGTGAGTTTCAAACTTCTTTTACTATAAGAACCCTTTCTTCAAAAGACCATTTTCTAAGAGCCCAATATGTAATCATTCAATAATCAAAAATTACTTATTGGGCCCCTGCCAGGGGCCAAGCAGCCTACCCCCATGCCCATTCTCTTTAAAGGCTGCAGGTACTGCACAGTATGGAGAAACCACCTCATTGGCTGTTCCCCTGTTGAGGGACACCCAGCTTGCTCTCCACGTTTCGTTGATATTAACAATGATTCAAAGAACATACGTCTGTGGGTACTTTTATCATCTCCTTAAAAGAAAACCCCAAAAAGTGGGATATTTGGGGTCAGAGGCCAACCTTGAGCTCGGGCCTATTCAAGGTGCTGGGAGACGGAAGGAGAAGTAAATGACTTGGTCCCTGTTCTTTGATAGCTCAGTCAGCTTGAGGAAATGAGATTCAGGAAAGGGAAAAGGAGATTTCAATAAATAAAGCCAATACCTTCCAGCAGTTCCTCTTTAGGAATCTACTCCATGCATACCTGCTGCATCACTGTAAAACCTAATAACCTAAGTGTTCAGCATTAGGGAATTGAATAAATATAGACCATTATGCCACTAATATGGATTCATCTCCAAGTAAAATAAAGAAAGCAAAGTGTAAAACAATGTTTCATATACTGTTTGTATATTTATAAAAATATGGGCATATATATGCTTGTAAATGTAGAGACCTGCACTGTCCACTATGGTAGCCACTAATCCCATGTGGCTATTGAGCACTTGAAATGTGGCAAGTCCAAATTGGGACGTGCTGTAAGTGTAAAATGCACATTGGACTTTGAAGACTTGGTACCAAAAAAGAAAAAAAGTATGTAAAATATCTCATTAATAATTCTTATGTTGATAATAGGTTGAAATGATAATATTTTGAATGTATGAGGTTAAGTAAAGTATTAACATTTCGTATTTCTTTTTACTTTTTTTAATGTGGCTACTAGAAAATTTTAAATTACATATGTGGCTCGTATTTGTGCCTTCCATTAGGTTTCTATCAGCTAGGACCTATCTCCAGAAGAATATGCAACACATTTATAATAGTGGCTGACTCTGGGGAGGGGTCCTGAAGGTTTGTGTGGGGTGGGAGACTGACTTTTCATTGCCCTTTTGTACCATTTGAATTTTCTCCTTTGTTTCAATTTTTGGTACCATGTACCAGTTTTTTTTTT